TCATATATTGCCATTCCTAATATCTGATTTGTGTCCATTTATCCTTTTACATAGGGACTGTCCAGTTTGGCCAATGTACATAGCAGTGGGGCATTGCTGGCACATGATGACATATATTACATTGGTGGATGTGCAGATGAATGAACTGGTGATGGTGTGGCTGATCTGGTTAGGTCCTGTGATGGTGTCGCTTGTGTAGATATGTGGGCAGAGTTGGCATTGAGGTTTGTTGCATGGATTGGTTTCTGAGTTAAGAGTTACTATGGTGCAATGTGTAGTTGCTGGTGAGAATATGCTTCAGGAGAAATATGCAAGGAGAAAAGAGCCTGGAGCCAGGAGCCAGGTGTGTCTGATATAATCTGCCCTGAGAAGGCAACCACGAAGTGCTGTAAAGAAAAGACGCATGAAAGGAACAGGGACTGGGAATGCTTCTCGATGATGGACAGAGAAGAAAAACTCAGTGTACTCGACAGGAGTGCCCAGTTCCAAAATAAAAGGAAGCAGCCACACACACAAGCTGCTGCTCCTTTACCTGCTCACCAGCCCAGATCCATGACTGCAGGGGGACACACCAGATCTACCATGCTTCGGCTTCTTGGCTTCCCATGGTGTCTCCGGTAACCCTCCGTTTGTGTAAGTGTGTGGGTACATGGGGGTATGAATGCGGTGAATGTGAATACGAATGCAGTGTATAAATAAGCTTCTTCCCTTTTCTGTCTGACCTAACAGCGGTATTGTAATAAAACTAATACAAGTGTGACCCTGGGTTGGTGTTTTAGGAGAACAGAGGTAACATCCGTAAGCCAACCAGAGGTTGTGTGTCTTTTACAAGGGGTGAAGTACTATGGCCTGTGATCACGATGGTCCTTTCTGGCCTTAAAAACTGAGTCTATGAGTTTAAAGTGAGCCTGGTGCAATATTGCTAGCTATGCAAACTTCAGTACATTACCTTTCCAGAGAATAGGTACAGCTCATGTAGTGGCAATGCAAGTTTCCTCTGTATCACTGTGACAGGGTGCAGCTCACCACTGTGGCACCTCCTACTGGCTCTCTTGGGAATTAGCTCTGCGCCCTCTTCTGATGGTGTCTCATCAACCGTCACCTCTGCTTCTGGACCCACATCACTCCCAGGACCGTGGTATCCTCTTCATGACACTGCCCTCTGGCTGTGCCACACTCCATGTTCTCCCCTTCCAGGGGACCTGCAATCTCCGCCCAGCCACTTCCGTCAGTGGTAACTGCAGTTCATTATCCTGGGGCCGCATCCCATGCAGCTCCAGCACCCTCCTCTGCCCTTGCCTCAGCCTGTAGGCCCTAGCAGCCAGCCAGGAGCTCTCTCTAGCTCTCCGGTCCCTGCTTGCAGCACTGAATTGTCCCAGCTGCTGGGGCTTCTTCCCTTGAGTTCCAGTCAGCTACTCAATGCTGCTCTGCCTGCAGCCCTTCTTATATGGGCCTGCCAAGCCATGATTGGCTACTCCTCTCAGCAACTTTCTAATTGGCTACCTCTGGCACAGCCTCCCTAGGGCCGCTTTTAACCCCTTTTCTGCCAGTGAGGGGCGGCTGCCGCATCACAATCACCCACTACCAATGTGCTTCACAACTGGAGGTACCACACAGAGACGTAAGATAGTTTATTCTCTAGGGCAGATTCAGTTGTTGGTTTCTTTGGTGAGACTACAAACAAGAGGTTCAATTGTAGCGGTGGATTTTGTGATGTGAAAACATGTCTCACTAAGAACCAGACTGAGATTTTCAAATGATTTCACATAGCCCATTGAACACTAGTCAGATAGAATCAATTTTCAGTCACTAATGTGTTAGGATGGATTGGAACCAGTGGTCTGGAGGTGAAAAATTCATAGCCCATTAGTTATACTTTGAACCATCTAATCATTCCTATTTCAAGAGATGAAAACTTACAATTTTTAAATATTTGTGGAACCTTACCTGTCTGTGAGAAAAGCAACAATCTTAAACTGGAAGAATATAGAAGATTTTGCTTCCCCATTTCTCTCTTCCCCCATATACCACAATTTTTTCCGTGATTTGCACAATGTATCTTTGCTTAACCAACTGTCCTTACATTGCCTCTGGTTTGGGTTAGTGTGCTGGGTCAGCAGTATTTGAGACTTCATTGTTGTTTGCTCAGTATAGTAGTGGGCAAATTATTCTCTGTGTCAGCTTTGACCCTTCCACTTTCTGATTTCTTTGTGGTTATGTCAGAAACTGCAATCTTAATAGTCTTTTAATGCTGAACAGAACCACATGCAAGATGAATACATCGTGTTGCAAACATTTTTCTTATTTTGATTCGAAAGAGTGCCACTGAGAACCTGGCCAGTGGGTGGCTGAAGGATTGGCTAGAACAACACAAATGCATGGATTTTGCTGAAAGTCACTGATTTCTGTGCTAACAAGCTCTGTTCTATGCTGCGTTCCTGTCAACTAATAAACCCTTTTGTTTTACAACACTGGCTGAGAGTCATGGCTGACTGTGGAGTTGGGGTTCAGGGCCCTCTGGCTTCCTCAGGGATCCCATCCAGGTGGACCCACCAAGGAGAAGTGTACAGTGTGAACAAGGATGCTGAATGGTCCGAGATCAGACCAGGAAGGTCTAAGCTGAGTAGGCTTTTTGCCCTGGACAGCGTGCCCTGAGGGGAGTCACACTACCCAGAGTCCTGGCTGGCTTCATACAGAGCAGTTCCAGAGCATCAGACCTGTGACTGCGTGACAATTGAGTGCTTGACCACATACCTGCATAAGGAAGAAATCCTGAGGGGACCTTGGATCCAGACCATCAGCATTAAACTCCTAAAATGTTTCCCACACAGTAACCAGGAGCTGTATCCAAGAAGGCTAATGGCATTTTGGGCTGTATAAGTAGGAACATTGCCAGCAAATGGAGGGACATGATCATTCCCCTCTATTCGGTATTGGTGAGGCCTCAGCTGGAGTACTGTGTCCAGTTTTGGGACCCACACTACGAGAAAGATGCGGAAAAATTGGAAATAGTCCAGCAGAGGGCAACAAAAATGATTAGGGGGCTGGAGTACATGATTTATGAGGAGAGGCTGTGGGAACTGGGATTATTTAGTCTGCAGAAGAGAAGAATGAGGGGGGATTTGATAGTTGCTTTCAACTACCTGAAAGGGGGTTCCAAAGAGAATGGATCTAGACTGTTCTCAGTGGTACCAGATGACAGAACAAGGAGTTATGGTCTCAAGTTGCAGTGGGGGAGGTGTCGGTTGGATATTAGGAAAAACTTTTTCACTAGGAGGGTGGTGAAGCACGGGAATGCGTTACTTAGGGAGGTGGTGGAATCTCCTTCCTTAGAGGTTTTTAGGGCCAGGCTTGACAAAGCCCTGGCTGGGATGACTTACTTGCGGATTGGTCCTGCTTTCAGCAGGGGGTTGGACTAGATGACCGCCTGAGGTCCTTTCCAACCCTGAATTTCTATGATTCTATCCTGTGCTCTAATGATGTGACGAAGCCACGACCGATAAATTACCTTTGTACCTTCCAGAAAAGTTTAAAAACTCTAAAAAGACTGCATTGTTCAACCTGCAATGATAAATCCTTTTCTGACTCTGCACTACCCCACAAATCTATAACTGAGCAGTGAATTTAGTTCTGGTAGGGTTTACTCACTGTTAGATAATATGATGTTAAACACAGCTTGTCCCTGTCTGCACTGACTCCAAAGTTGTATTTAATATTTTGTTACTTAATATGACTCCTTAAAGTCCTGTTTTAATACAAACTTAATTTTCTTGTGAATACAATCCCTGTGATATTCTTTGTATACATATTTCAATAGAGGAATGTTAAATACAGAGATCCAAACCACTTTTATGGAGAAATGAACATTGCAAGAAAGCAGGAAATCCACAAATGAAACAAAACCAAATCTTAGCATAACAATGACTGTTGCCAACAACCAACTTGGAACAAAAGTCAACAGTTCTACTGAAACTTTCCTCAGTTAAGAGGGCTCATACATGAGAAACCCTCCTTGTAATTAAGATTGGCACTTTCAACAAAAATATTTCTACTTTTGAAGAATGGAAAATTATGACAATGAAAGTGATGATAAAGCTAAGCAGTGTAGACCTGGTCAGTAATTGAATGGCAGAATTCTAAGGAAATAACCAGTGTGATGTGTGATGCAGGAAGTGGTGTTGGTGATTCAGTAGAGAGGGCTATTATCTCTAGTCAGCACTGAATCAGTGCCCCAATATGGTACTAAGGTCTGCTGTATTGCTGGAGGTCCTGTCTTTCAGCTGACATGTAAAAACAATGTCTGACCATTAGTGGTTACTGACAATCCTGTAATACTTTTCACAGGAGTTAAGAGTAGTTAGTTCTGGTGTCTGGGCTAAATACCAATTGGGTGCTTATATTCTACCTCAATAAATTTTCCTCTGCAGTTTCAAATCAATATGGCATACTTCATTTCTTTCCCTAAGCTGTTATGTAGTGAAGTTATGCTATGTTCTATCTGTGGGAGCTTACTTGATAGTAAGGAATATTAGAACACACAGTCAACATGCTGCCCCATAATCAAGGTTCTGTCTGGATGGGGTTTGGGGAAGGGCCTTCTTGGTTCACAGACTCTATATGGAACTCTCTCACCATGAAAACATCCTCCAATCACACTATTTTTAGAACTCAGTGCAAGACTTTTCTTAGCTGGATTGGTCTCACTTTTGTCACAGCTTTTGAGTTATTTCCAGTTTTGTTAGCTAGCTGCATCTGGGATGGCCCAGTTTGGAAAGGAAGGTTGGTTTAGTAGTTAAAGCACTAGCATAAGCCTTAGAAGACCTAAGTTGAAGCTTCCTGTTGTGTGACTTTAGTAAAGTCATTTAGGCTCTCGGTGTCTCAGTTCACCATCTATAAAATGGGGATGATGATAACAGTTCCCTATCTTAGAAGGTGAGGATAAATACATTAAAAAATCATGAAGTGCTTGGACACGACAGTAATGAGGGCCATAAGATAGATGTGGTAACATATTTTATTTGAATTTTTTTTTACAACATCCCAGATACTCTATTAGGAAATGCTTGCTGAAAAAGATCATTATGACCAAAAGCCATTGCTGATAGAATACAAAGCCGTTGTTAGCTAGCCCACTAGTTCCCCTTCCTCGGTACTGCAGAAACTAGGAAATACTCCAGATAGAGGCACTTTCTGTGTGGCTGCACCATTATCAACAGAAAGGAAGTCACTCACTTTACTAATAAGAATGTACTCTCATTATCACATTCTATTTCATTAGGACCAAGTATAACAGAGACACTCCACATGGGAGAACCCCTCATTACTTTGAGTGTAACACTCAAAGGCATCATATACAAATAAGAAAAGATCCACTAGAACAAGGGAAAGATAGAGAAGCTTGGAGACAGAGAGAGTGAGAGATAAGTAAACAGTTAAAGAGAAGGAAAGACAGTACACACCAAAATTGGACTGACCAAAGCATTAGAAAATATATTTTCGGAATAATCCTGCATAGAGGAGATAAAATCTTCATTTTAAGACGTTCTTAAGGTTGCTAAGTATAAAGCCCAAATGCTTTTAAATAAAGAAAATGAACAGTTAGACATAATTTTATGCTGTCCATATGATAAAGATATTACTCCTACTAAGTATAAAGAAATAGATGTGTCATCACAACATAACAGATACCAGAGTGATAAGCATAATCTGAGACCTAAACAGAACAACCTTGACTCTGACCCAGAGGTTGCTGGTTTTGGGTGTTATCTTGATTTCAGTAAATATCAGATCTTAAATGGGAAATATCAGATAATTTGCCAAGTGGCAGATTTTCTTGTAAAGTACTTATAGCTGATGTTTCTAGAGAAGAATGTTGCATTTGTAGTTGTCAAGGTTCCTCCCCCACTCTGAACTCTAGGGTACAGATGTGGGGACCTGCATGAAAAACCTCCTAAGCTTATCTTTACCAGCTTAGGTCAAAACTTCCCCAAGGTACAAAATATTCCACCCTTTGTCCTTGGATTGGCTGCTACCACCACCAAACAAATACTGGTTACTGGGGAAGAGCTGTTTGGAAACGTCTTTCCCTCCAAATACTTCCCAAAACCTTGCACCCCACTTCCTGGACAAGGTTTGGTAAAAAGCCTCACCAATTTGCCTAGGTGACTACAGACCCAGACCCTTGGATCTTAAGAACAATGCACAATCCTCCCAACACTTGCACCCCCCCCTTTCCTGGGAAATGTTGGATAAAAAGCCTCACCAATTTGCATAGGTGACCACAAACCCAAACCCTTGGATCTGAGAACAATGAAAAAGCATTCAGTTTTCTTACAAGAAGACTTTTAATAGAAATAGGAGTAAATAAAAGTAAAGAAATCCCCTCTGTAAAATCAGGATGGTAGATACCTTACAGAGTAATTCGATTCAAAACATAGAGAACCCCTCTAGGCAAAACCTTAAGTTACAAAAAAGATACACAGACAGAAATAGTTATTCTATTCAGCACAGTTCTTTTCTCAGCCATTTAAAGAAATCATAATCTAACATGTACCTAGCTAGATTACTTACTAAAAGTTCTAAGACTCCATTCCTGGTCTATCCCCAGCCAAGACAGAATATAGACAGACACACAGACCCTTTGTTTCTCTCCCTCCTCCCAGCTTTTGAAAGTATCTTGTCTCCTCATTGGTTATTTTGGTCAGGTGCCAGCGAGGTTACCTTTAGCTTCTTAACCCTTTACAGGTGAGAGGAGCTTTCCCCTGGCCAGGAGGGATTTCAAAGGGGTTTACCCTTCCCTTTATATTTATGACAGCAGTTCAATAGGAAGCATGTATAAGAATATGTACGTAAGCAGTAGACTTGCATTGGAGGCTGAGTAAGATTGATTTTAAGCTCTTTGAGACAAGGCTGTCTTTTATGACTATTAAGCAACTAGCATGCTCAGATGTTTAAAAAATATTAATGATAATATTGAAAATAAAGCAATTTCCTCCCTCAACAAATGCCTGGAATAGTAACGATGTAATTAAAATTCCTTGTAAATGAAGCTCTCCTAAGAGGACTTTGCTCTGTAAAACATCTGTGTTTTTCTTTCCTTCCCTCCCACTGGTTTGATAAGCAATCAAATCCATCTATAGTATCTATGGAACTCAATCACTATATTATACAGACACTAAATATAAGATTAAGGTTTCATTAAATAAGCATAAGGTTATTTTAAGTATTTTTTATCTTCTTGTTAAATCATCCATCATAGGGCCCAATCTTGCTTGCACTGACACTGTCAGATTATAAACTCCTTGAGGAAAGAACCTTGTGTTCTTACCTGCCTGTTCAAGTACCTATGAAAGATGCGGTACTGCTCTGTAATTTATTAATACTGTATGTGAGCTGCTTATTGAAATATTTACTGTATGAATGTTGGTTTAGTTGAAGAGCAGGCTGTTTGGAAAAAAAGCAGGAAGGAAAGACAATGGCTCTAGATAAGACACCTCTGGGTAAACATTTGGGCTGATTGTTACAGAAAAATGGGAAGGCAACAGGGTAGAGGTGGTTGACTTGGCCTCCCTATAGAGCTCACCAAACTGTTTTTGGATAGCACATGTGTTGACAGAACAAAGAATTTTTTTCTGCATTTGAAGGCATTCTCTTAAGGACAGGGGGAATTAAAGTGGATTGTGATGGAGTGTACAAATTCTGCTCTGAAAAGGAAGGGGTTAAGGAGCTACTCTGGGCTCAAGCATGTATGGGCTGGAGGAGGAGTTCAAAAAGAGATCACACCAGCTCAGTAGCAGGCAGGCAGTGGAGGTGAACAGACCTACATTCTTAGCTCCTTGGAGGGAATGCTGTGATCCACCTATCTTCCATCTTTGGCTATTGTGATGTTACCAGAGCTGCAAAGGAAAAAGGACTCTTGACACTCAGAAGGTCTGAGACTTACCTTTGATTTATTTTGTTTAATGTCTTCACTTTGCCCCTGTAGGATGCAGATCTTTTCTGCTCACCACAGGGCCCTGGATTGGAACCCAGTGGAGAGGGTGGGCCTCGGTACCCCTAAAACCCTACTCTGGCATGAGAGAAACTTCCTGGGAAAAAGTCCCTGAAACTAGGGGAGTAGAGACCTTGAAACATTGATTCAGGGGAAGCCTGAAGACCTCCTTGATTGATCCCAGGACTATCCACTGCTGGGCTCTCTGCATATCCCAAGAGAAGTAAGGCAGTATCTGACTTAACTGTCAAGCCTCTAGAACTAGTATCCTGCACATGAGGACCAAACCCAACGACAGACTTACCACAACACTATGCTCAGATGCCGAGGGGTACCCCAGTAGTGACTGGCCTACCACATGAACCCAGGTTCCAGAGGCTGGGGTGTTTGGGAAATTAGACCTGTCCGGGGTCTCTGCCAAGGGATGGCAAGCCTTTAAGTAAGATAGATATGCATGTAGATGTTTTTAAAATTATTTTCTTATATATTACACTTTGTTCCCATTGTTAAGATTAAATAATACTTTGATTTAGGAAGGTGGCCGGGTCACTGTACTTACCAGTGGTCTCACCTACCGAATAGAAGAACAACAAACAGGTACCAAATCCAGTCAGACCTGTTGGGATAAGCATGGTCAATACACAGGATAATGTAAACTAGGAGCCAGTCCAAGAGTGGGAGAATTATAGGATTCTGGCCTGAGAAAGGTAAAGGCATAAGGCCTCATTCACACCTAGTGGGGTGCAATTAGAGATTAGAAAAGGGGTAAGAGGTGCAGCTAGCCCTGCAATGGTGACACTACATATCTACATTTTTATATGGTGTCCATCATTATCATCCTATCTTATCATTTTGCCATCTTGTTGAATTGAATGGGGCAAGCTCAGAGCTGACCGGGTATTACTGCATCAGTTACCATGAAAATATGAACTGAGAGTAATCTCTACAACCATAAAGGCTAGAATAATACCTTTAAAATATTCTGTTGGAGGTGGTGCACTTTGTGGCAAATTTTGGGTTGTGGAATTGCAGAACACATGGGGCCCTGCCTCAGATCCGTCCCAGCCTTTACTTATGATATTGTAATGAATTCAGGGAGAATAGTTTCTTGCTGACCAAAGGTATAGCAGGAGAAATTTATATTTCTATGTTGTCACTGAAAGCCTTGAACATATTATAACTAAGGTTACATTTTAATTACGGATATTTTTAGTAAAAGTCACGGACAGGTCACAGGCAGTATACAAAAATTCACGGCCCGTGAACTGTCCATAACTCGAGCATTTATAATGGTGTTAAATATATTTAAAAGGGTGTTTAATTTATTAGAGGGGTTGCACTCAGAGGCTTGCAATGTGAAAGGGGTTGCCAGTAAAAAAGTTTGAGACCCCCTGTACTAGATAATCACAGTGGTCCCTTCTGGTCTTGGAATCTATGAATTAATGCAGAAGTGCATTCCTGAATTTGCACACAACTTGAAGCAACAGTTATAGAGGCCCCAGTCTGTGAGGTGCAAAGCACCCTCAATTATCCATTGACTTGAACATGTGCTGAAGTTGGCTAGCCCACTGCAAGGTTAGGTCTACACTGCATAGTAAACCTGGGTCCATGTGACTTGCAAACCCATTCTTTCAAAGCTCATTTCTGAGCAGCCACACCACATGGCTATGCATGTTTCATACGCATGCTGGGCATATCCATATTGTGGTATGCAGACATGTGTCAGATTCTGTGGCTTCTGTGCGTGAGCCCCAGGATTCTGAGCACCCTGCTAGCTGTAGCTGCTCTAAAGCTTGGTTCATGGTGTATCGTGGGAGACCTTGTCTGTCCATCCTGTGGCATTTGACCGGAGGTGCTCCTTGCCTGCCAGTGTATCCAGCTGACCCACTTCAGGTCTGCATGCTCTCTGCTGCTGGAATCAGGCCATACCAGTGGCTTGCTATAGGCATCTGGGAGCTGGCAACCCCATACTGCTACAGGTCCATGACAAACCACTTTGGTGTTGGCAAGTCAGCTGTGTGGATTGTGGAGTTTCCTGAAGCAATCAGGACTGTTGTTCCCCCAGAGGTGGTGGGCTTTGAGGGAATGGGCTTCCCAAACTGTGTTGGGGCTATCGATGGGACTCATATGCCCATAAACCACAAATGGTACTACATTATTATATAGACGTTGGTGGACCACAGAAGCAGGTTCATGGATATCAAAGTGGGATGTACTAGCAGGGTGCATGATGTCAGGATTTTTCAGAGCTCAGGGCTATAACTTTTTGGATAAGCAACAAGGACCTTATTCCCTCCAAGAGACGCTGTTGTAAATGGAGTCTCTGTCCTCACTGTTGTTCTAGGGAACCCTGCATGCCTCCTTCTGCCATGGCTTATGAACCATACCCTGACTTCAGAGGGTGTGACGCAGGGACCCCATGGTGCCAACAGGAAGAGGGCATAAAAGGTACATAGAGGTTTACAGGGATCCTCTGGGTCCAATAGCTACAGAATAGTTCACCAAAGGGCAGCATGTAAGGTCTCTACCGAGAGCCAATAGCCAGTGGTCATCATAATCATTGTGAAATGTCTGTAACAACAGTATTTTAAAAGTTATATATCTATGCTGGAAATTATGTTTTTAAAGCCTTGAAGATTAAAGGCAAGTCACAAAGAAGTGACATGCCTCGTGTCTGTCTCTCAGTGTAAGTCTATCTGCGTACTGAGTTACCAGCTAATCAAGACAGAGACATTGATGAGAGATTGTGAAATCTAGAAGTAACAATACACAGCAGGAGGATGTATGGTTTATGAATAAAGATAAAGGACTGTTCTCATATATCTGGGATTGCCAAGGGACACCCTGATATCTTTCACCCAGGAGACAAGCTGCCAGTGCGCATGTCTTATAAATGGAGGGTCACAGCTAGCTACGCTATAAAATGCTGGGAGAAAGACTGTGGGTGAGGTAAACTTTATTAGACAAGAGAACAGCTTTTTAATTAAGTCTAGGCTCGAGAATGCATGTCATGATTTTATGTTATATGTAACCCTTTGTTTCCAATTTTAAAGTGCTACGTATTAAATCTGTGGACAGCACGGTTTTTAATTCTAAAATGGAAATTGTGTTGGTTGTAAGATGTTTTAGGCAGGAGTCAAACTGGAAACAAAAAAATCAGTTATACGGTTCTAAGATGTGTGTGCAAACCAAATTTTGATCACCTGAGACACCGAAATAAGACAAAAAGAAAAGAAGTACTTGTGGCACCTTAGAGACTAACCAATTTATTTGAGCATAAGCTTTCATGAGCTACAGCTACTCTGAAACCTGTCAAAATAAGATATTAGTTTGTCCAGTTATTCAGAATGATTGTGCATGCTCTCCTATGCTCTGCTAAATTGCTTTCCCTAGTATGGCTATAATGCCCAACTGGCCCCTTCAGAAGGTGGAGCTCAGATGCTTTGCTAGATTCTTTGAGACTTCTCGAGTGTAGCTTTTTTTTCAATGGGACAAATAAAAAAGGTAGGAGTACTCTCCCATGTTTTTTCGATATGGCTTCCCCGAAGAGTGTGTGCTATCCCCTATCTGAGATAAATCCCAACAGACGATATCAGTTTGGGGAGGATCAGATCAATAATTTGAACCCCTTGTATGGATAAACTAAGGCTATGTCTACACTACCACGGTAAGTTGGCCTATGCTACGCAACTCCAGCTACGTACTTTAGGCTGAGTGACCACGGGGTCTACACCGCGGGGGTCGATGGGAGAAAATCTCCAGTCGACTTACCTTACTCTTCTTGTCGGGGTAGAGTACAGGGGTTGACTAGAGAGCGATCTGCAGTCAATTTGGTAGGACTTTACTAGACCCACTAAATCGACTGCTGGTGGATCGATCTCGGAGCATCGATTCCTGCCGTAGTGTAGACCTGCCCCAAGATTAGAAGAACCAGGCAGTTTTGTAAATGGCTGATTTTGGGGGGATGGGAGGATCTGGAGCCCTGTATCTTGGGAAATCCTTGCTCAAATGTCTCCAAATTTGGACCACTAACTGTATCCTTCACCTCTATGAAGCACAGCAAATTTCGAGGTATTCTTGGTCACCATGTGGATTTTAGAGCCCTAAGAATAGTAATATTTTAAACAGTGACTCAATTAACCACAGTAAAGCTGTTGCTCCATTGTAATACCCGGTGATGGTGAACAATCGGTTAGCTTCACCGACCTGATGATAAAGATGGTCTCTAGTCCTACAATGTACCTGTAACAGAGGAGATACAGACAAGGTAAAAAAAAAGGCCCTAATACTAATTTACTAAGGTTACTGAAACTCTGGCTCAATAATGACCCGCTGGCATGCCCCAGCATTCCTCTATTTACTCTTGGGCCTCAGGCTGCAGCTTCCTGGCAATGTTCTTTCCCTGGCTCTCATGGTGCCCTGCCTTGGCTGGAGATCATGTGATTGGGGGAGCTTTGGGCTTTACTCACTGAGAGCCAGTGGTGCTGGATCATTTTAAATAGTGGGGGTGCTGAAAGCCAGCCCCTTTACCCCTGTTCCCATCCCCCCCCCACAACTCAGAGCTGAGGCCAGCAGCTGGGAGCCCGGGCATGCAGGTCTGGCAGCGTGGGGGTGCCCTACACCCCTAGTTCCCACAACTATGCTGAGAACCCCCCCCCCCCAAGCCCTGACCAGAGTACTGCAAACCCTAAAGTGCTCAAAAATCATGGGACTGCCTTAATCATAAGATTTTTTAAAAAATGATATATATCGGAGTTAATTTATCTGCTGGATTCTGGGCCTTTCGGGTGAACTTGGGGCACATGTTTAAGCTTTTCTCAGCACTCAGGAGACGAAGAAACAAGACAGAAAGCTGAGCTTTCCCCCTGAAGCCAGGAGCTGGCGCTGAGAGAAAAACACCATGATGAGCCATGCCATAAACCACAAAGTTGGCGCCAGGGAGCGGCCGGCTGGGAAACGCCAGGGCAGCGCTGGGTCGCAGGCGCTAGGCAGGAAGTCGTGTCACTCCCCATCAAAGGGCTCAGGCCCACGAGGGGAGGCACCACAGGTTTCGCCGTTTCGGGACTCTATCGGGTCCCGGTGACCTGGGCGCTATGGTCTCCCTGCACGGACTCGGGCAGAGAATGCGGGAGCGAAATTCCCCTCACAGCCGCCGCCGCCGCCACAGACCTGCTTCCAACCCCACAGCAACAACCCCTGCGCCCGCGCGCGCTGAGCGGCGAGCGTGAGGAGACGCGAGCGCTCCGGGCTACCGACGGCGAGCGGACCGTTAGAGGGGGGCCGCGAGCGCGCGAGGAGACGTGCTCGCTGATTGGCTGCGGAAGCACGAGGCCCGGAGACAGAACGGCGAGGCGCGAGCGCGCGCGAGCCGTACAGAGTCGGTTGCCGATTGGCTGAAGCGCTCGCTCCCCCAAGGAAAAAAAAAAAAAAAAAACCAGCTTCCGCGAGTTGGCTTGACAAGGTAGCAGGGGAGGGGCCCGCGGGGTGGGCTGGCGCCGTCAGAGCGCGAGGGGGCAGGCAGAGGCGACGTCGGGTTGGTTTGAGTGAGCGCGCGCGCGCGCCCCTGCCAGGGCCTTCTCGGATTGGTCGGCCTTGGCCCTGGCGAGGCCGCCGGGGAGGGTCCGTTGGCGCGGAGGCGTTCGGGGAGCGGGCGGTTTTGCGGCGTAGGTAGCGGAGCCGGAGTCAGGTGGCTTCCGGAGGCCCGGCCGCCGCCTTCTCCTTCCGGGACAGCGGCCCTGGGGACCCTCTGGTCGCAGCCCCCCGGAAAAGTGAGTGCTCTGGGGACGGAACCCGGGGCGGGCGGAGCTGGGGCTGAGGGGAGCCGGGGCGGCTGCTGTGGGAGGCGGACGGAGCCTGGGCTCGTTGGGCCCGTCGCCCCACCTGAGGTATCCGGTAGGCAGAGACTGATCGCGGCCAGAGCCCGGTGTGGACCCCGCCGCTCTTCTGGCGAGAGGGAGAGCTCCTGCCCTGCGCGCTCCGCCTGGCTCCCGGCCCTGTGCTCCAGGGTGGCGCCTGGCCTGGGTCCCCGGGGGCAGCCAGGGTGGCTGTGTACTGGGGCCCGGGTGCCTTGTTGCGAGGAAGATCTGTCCTAATGCAGAAGGGGGGCGGATGTTTCGTTCATGCTGTCGGGAGTGCCCCCCATGCGTTAGGGGGAGAGGCTGCTGTTGTATATAGATCTGTGTCCACCATGCACCTCTCTCTCACAATCCTCATTGATTTTCTAGTAGGGAGTGTATTTGGCTCCTCTCTGGAGCTGTCCTGGCTCACTAGAGGTTTCTGTTTCTCTTCCACTCTGAACCTGACCAGTATTGACCATAAGGTAGTGAAATTGCTGCAGACTTCAGTTCCTGGCTTGAAAGCTTCTCTCTCTCAGCTACAGAAGTTGGTCCAATAAAATATATTACTTCACCCATCTGGTCTCCCTGGATCCTGTCAGACATGCCCAGGGCAGAAATATTTATATTCTTAGTGATAGTCAAAGACTGACCTTCAAAGGGGGAAAAGTGCTTTTTTTGTTTTTCCTGTGAAAGAAACAAGTCTTTTCTTTCATGTTTTTCTGAATGTAAGTAGGTTGCTAGTGGGATTGACATTGGATTGTGAGGGGAAGTGACTGTTATGAAGATGGCTTTTAAATTGTGTATGAAGATTCCACCCCTTCCATCTCAGAGATCTCCACATCCTCAAGTGAAAACTAGATTTGACATTTCCTGAGACTCCTAAAGTGAAAACTGTTACAAATTACACCTGATAGGTCACGCACAGTTCGAGTCTAGGCTGAGGCACACGAACAAAGTCCACAACTGCAGAGTTTCCAGAGACACTAAGTTTATTACACTCGAGCGTGGTGCCCCCCTGCTAGTCAGGAGGGTACCCCGAATGCAGGTTATACAGAGATTATATACCTTTTAGCAAAGCATGTTGCCCTCGTGCATCAGAAACCTTAGCTAATAGACAAACCCTTCCCTTATTTACCACCTGTCCCTGCTAGGGTCATCCCCTGTGCTAAACCATTACTTCAACTACACAACATGGTCCTAAAGCAGTGCACCAGTAGCCTTTCTTATCAGGATGGGAGGCTCACATCAAGGCCAGGAGGCAGGGAGTTAGGAACAGACAAAGAACAGAAACCGGGAGTCGAGACAGGCTGGAAACAAGGGGGAGGGTTTTCACAGGAATGCAGTATCTAAAGAACACTCGTCCTGGTGCATGATGTGCTTGCTTTTAGACAACGGTGGGCCACAAACCAAAATGGAGTCACATATGCTAACTTTTTCTTAACAAAAGCAAATAGGAAAAAATATTCAGGCCATATTTATGCAACATAAAGAAACAAAGGGAAAACTTTTTTTTTCTTTTTTAGGTAGCCTTTAAAGATTCAAAAAGGAATTAAGGATAGAAAAGTGAAAGTTGCCTCTAGAGAGTTTGTGTAATCCAGGTAATCTTGATTGTTCTAAATATTGTGTGTTATTGAACACAGGACTTGTGCTTGAACAGATATATAACATTATTTAAACAGCTTCTCGTAATTTACATTTGATTTGTTCTTCATGAAAAATATACAATACAAAGTGCATCTAAGTAAGAGATCAACTCGTGAAAAATAGTCCGGGCTGCAATTCTGTGTAAAAGTACAAACGTGCCTGAGGTTATGTCACCCAATTTAAGCCTGATGAATATTTATAGGGAGACCTCAAAGGAAAACCTTGATGGTATGGAAAATGTTTTTGATTTAGTTGGTGGTACTCTGCCCTCTAGAACCCTCCCGACTGAGTACTAGGTTGGGTGACACTATATTGCTGGAATTTCTGGTTTTATAATGTGTGAAACTGAATCCCTGGCTGACTCTGATGTACTGTTACTTTCTGTGGACCAGCCACTAGAGGAAGATCCTTAATACACTGAAACTGTTTATTATATAAGCATGAACAGCCCCATTTTATTGACCGCATAGATGAGTACTTAGATTTAACAGATTTTTTCTGAAGGACAGTGTGGTTCAGTGATTAAGACTAGCGTCTGCTACAGTAAAAATCTGAATGCTGTTTTCAGCTTGTGTAATCTCTTGGAAAGGAAAGTTTACAAGGTTCTTTACTCACTAATAAAGGTTGTGAAGGATGCAGAATTATTAACTTCTTAAAAAGAAAACGAGTACTTGTGGTACCTTAGAGACTAACAAATTTATTTGAGCAGAAGCTTTCGTGAGCTACAGCTCACTTCATTGGATGCATTCAGTTTTTCTTTTTACGAATACAGACTAACATGGCTGCTACTCTGAAACCTAACTTCTTAAAGTAGAAAAAGTGAGTCCAGAACTAGTGCTCCCCTGGTTGCCATCCTACTACACTTTTCTCTAGGCCAAATGGTACTTTGATGAAGGAAAAGCAGCTGCTGTTGCTATGTTGTCTGTATTAGTTCTGTGTGGCATGCTGAAGTGATTCGCCGGGGTGGTGCATGCACAGTACTAACTGAATGTTTGGCGTTTTTGGCAGCAAGCCAGGAACAAACTAATGAGCAAAATACCACCAGGAAGTGGCAAATTTGACAGCTCATAACCTGCCCAAAACAAACAGATTTTCAAGAAGCCAGTATTAGGTGCCTCCCTGACCCTAGGCCTGGTCTCCTACAAATTTCAAGTTATTGCTGAAAACCATAACAGCACTAGACCTCTTCTAAAACAACCCCCCCCCCCCTTTTTTAATGCCAGAAAGTTTTAGACAGCCTAAATATAGGAGTCATTACCCCCTCCCTGAAATATATTGCCAGACAAAATATTTAATTTAAAAGAGTTAAGGTTGAAAGTGTTCCTACTGAGTTTAGCACCAACTTTGAAACATTAGTCTGAAAATGAACACCTAAGGGATTTATCTAGTTCTGCTACCATGTAATCTTTCATTGGTCAGTATTGCTCCACCAGACTTAAAGCAGCCATCCTTACCTATATTCCCAAACATTAAAAAATGCATGTAGAGGTTAAAATAGTAGTAAATAATAGATCCATTTTGTATTAAAAGGTTACCAACATAAAAGTTTCCTGTCTTTTAAAAAGGGAAGAAAGAGGACCCAAGGAATTACAGACCAGTCAGCTTAACTTCAGTTTCTGGAAAGATACTGGAACATAGTATTAAACAGTCACTTTATAAGCACCCAGAGGGTAATAGTGTTAAGTAATAGCCTATGTGTATTTGTCAAGAACAAATCATGACAACCTAACCTAATTTTCTTCCTTGACAGGGTTACTGGCCTAATGGATAGAGGGAAGCAGTATATGTAATATATCTTGATTTTTAGTAAGTCTTTTGACACAGTCCCATGTGATATTCTCATGAGCAAACTAGGAAAATGTGGTCTGGATGAAATTACTTTAAGGTGGGTGCACAACTGGTTGAAAGACCATACTCAAGGAATAGTTATTAATGATTCTGTATCAAACTCGGAGGATATGTCTGGTGGGATCCCCCTGGGATCAGTCCTGGGTCCAGTACTATTCAGTGTTTTTGTTAATGCCTTGGATAATGGAGTAGAGAGTGTGCTTATATAATTTGTGGATGACACCAAACTGGCAGGGGTTGCTAGCATTTTGGAGGATAGGATAAGAGTTCAAAATGACCTTGATAAATTGGAGAATTGGTCTGAAATCAACAAAATGAAATTCAATAAAGACAAGTGCAAAGTACTACACTTAGGAAGGAAAAATCAGATGCACAACTATAAAATTAGAAATAACTTGCTAGATGGTGGTACTGCTGAAAAGGATCTAGGAGTTACAGTGGATCACCAATTGAATGACTCTACAAAATTATATTAACCTTTTTCACATTGGAGTGTATTAACAAAAGCATTGTATATAAGACACTAAAGTTAATTGTCCTGCTGTACTCGGTGCTAGTTGGGCCTCAGCTGGAGTACAGTGTCCAGTTCTAGGTGTCACATCTTAGGAAAGATGTGTATAAATTGGAGATAGTCCAAAAGAGAACAAAAAAAATAATAAAAGGCTTAGAACACCTGACCTATGAAGAAGGATTTAAAAAGTTGGGCATGTTCAATCTTGAGAAAAGAAGACTGCGGGGATACCTACTAATAGTCTTCAACTATGTTAAGGGCTGTTGCAAAGAGCATGATGATCAATTGCTCTCTATCCAGTGAAAGTAGGACAAGAAATAATGGCCTTAATCGGCAGCAAGGGAAGTTTAGGTTAATACTAGGCAAAACTTTCAATCTGTAAGAAAGGTTAAGTACTGGAATACGTTACCAAGGGATGTTGTGGAATCTCCATC